GGCATGTCAGGGCTGAGCCGTGCCCTTGCGCACGCCGAGCCCTTCACCTCTCCCTCCGGCTTCTTGTCTTCCCAGGGGCGCTTTCTCCATCGTCCGGCGATGCGTGAAGGTGTTGGCAGGACAAGAGTATGCGGCCAAGATCATCAACACCAAGAAGCTGTCTGCTCGAGGTAGGTGCCGGGGGTGTTTTTGGGGAGGCAAGAGGCGAGCAGGGTTTGCAGAGTGGGGAATTCGTCCCCTCTACATGGCGCCGGGATGATGCCTTTGATGTGTGGCGAGGCGGGGGCTGTCTGATGTACAGTGGGGAACCCCCTTATCCCACCCCATCTCCACTCTCAGGGGCTGAAGTTTCCTTACTCGTGTACCTGCATCAGTGAAATGGCACGGTCCTTTGGGTGGGGGATTATTTCATTTCTGCCTGGAGATGGACCCTCACCCCTTGCTGACATTTAATTAATCGCTCCAGTGGAGCAGGGTGGCTGCTTTGCTGCTGGAAGAGGCGCTGGTGGGTCTGTCCTGGCTGGTCCCCGGGGCAAGGCTGAGCTGAGCTGGCACAGAAAAGCTTCAGCCAGCCCTTGCCCTGAGGCAGAGACCTCTCTGCCCCCGGGGCATCTGGCAGAGGAGCTGTGATAAGGAGGATGGAGAGGATGGGACAGCAGCTGCCTGGTGTGGCTGCTCTTGGCCGGGCACGTTGGGGAGTGCAGGATGGGTGCTGGGAGCAAGCGTCCTGCCGGGAGGGTTTAATTAACTCCCTTCATTTCTCTCCCTGACGCCACTGTTCACCTCCGAAGGCAAAAATGAAAGGCAGAAAACAGTGACAAACTCCTTTCTGACCTCAAATTAAACCAGTGCTTTGCAATCTCCCCCCCGCAGTGCTGCCAAAGCGGCACAGCACTGACGCTGAGCACCCCCGTCTGCCTCCCAATGCCAGCTCCTGCTCCTCTTCGGGGATGCGGAGCATCCTTTTACTCCAAGGCCGAACACTCCCAGCCCTGGGCAGGCAGCCTTGTGCTCAGCTCCTGCCTGTGCAGCCCAGCTGGCAGTGGGGTGGGCAGCGAACGCCTCCTGGTTTGTGGGGCTGCCTGGAGGAGCAGATTGAGCCGCCTTCCCTCTGCTCCCTCCTGCCTCCGCTCCCCTGCTCTGGCAGTTTGTCCCTCTCCATCCTCTTCTGGGGCTTTGCATTGTCCCTGTGGCGGCTCTGTGTCCGTCTGTCCCCAGAGAGACCTCACCAGTGTTATTTTCCCTGCTCTGCCAGCTGAGATCACTGCTAGCTTTTGCTAAGAGTCTTGAAACCCCCCATTTCTGCAGTGTTAGCATGGGGGACGGCGCTTCCCCGGGCTGGGAGCAATCCCCAAAGGGATCCATCCCCACTGGGATGTGCCACTGGCTGTATCACACGCGAAGGGCAGGAGGGAGGGTGTGCAGGGAGGAGAGAGGTCGGGGGGTTGGGGGGAAGGGGAGAAGAGCTGCAAAACATCCCCATGGTGCCTTCAGCCATCCTCCCAGAACCAGCAGGAAAGAAACGGGAGTTTTTGGAGGAGGAATGGGTTTTGGGTCCAGCCAGCAGCTGGATGTGTGGGTGCCATGGTGGACGTGCTGTGCCATGCGGTGGGAGGGTGCTCTGACCCACGGTAGCCACCCCCCAAGCTTGGCAGGGTTCCTCTGCCTGAGGGACATCCCCCGTCCATCCCTCCATCTGTCCGTCTGTCCCCTGCCCTGCTGCTCTGGCACAACCATCCCACCCACGTGCAAAGCCGCTCTGAGCCATGGCCCGCAAACATGCGCAACCAGGTGGGTCCCCTGCCAGCCTGCAGCCCTGCGCTGGGGCTGTCTCCTTTGCCCCCTGGGCAGCGGGTGGCTCATATCAGGCGGCTTTTCCCCCGGCATTTTGCAGCTGAGCCCATGGCACCACAGGAAGCGATGGGCACACTCCCCTGGGACACTGCCTACCAGGTGTTGGCATGTTGGGTCGCGTCAAAGGGAAGAGCCGGGGTGACGCGGGGCTGCATCCGCAAGCGCTGTGTCCTTGCGGGCACAGCAGCCTCCTGGCACCCGCGCGGCTTCGCTGTTCTGTGGCCAGCCGAACCCATCGGGGTTTGCCCTGTTGGGGCATTGCTGCTGGGCACTGCCTGGGGTCCCTGAGCAGGGGTCCCTGACCCTCACCCCATATGGATAAGCACCTTTCCCAGTCCCTCCTGGTTGCTGCTGGGTCTCCGCTGCTGTTCCCTTCCCCTTCAGAGGGACCCCATCTCTACCCCCCTTTAAATGCTCTGATCCATTTTTTATTTCTCCTGGTTTTCACCAGTCTCCCACCCCCTCTCCGTGCTGTTTGTGTTTTATCGAACCCCACCACCCTCCCGGCATTCCCTGCTGAGCCGCCTGTGCCAGGCTTTGCCTTCACAGGCATTTTGGTGGCAACAGATTGCGAGGGTACAAGGAGGGGGGCAGAGGCTGGGGGGTCACCTCACACTGCTGCTGCTGTGGCTTAGCCCAGGAGCCTGAGCTGAGTTGGGATGCTGGTGGTGGGGAAGCGATGGGGCAGCCTGGTGCCCCTCACCAGTGGCCATGCTCACCCCTGTGCAGCCAAGGGTTTGGCTGGCAGTGGCACGCAGGCACATGGAGGGGTGCCGGGACCTGCTCCACACTCTCTGGCCTCTTTAAAGCAAGCAAAGGAGCTTTACTGGACATCAGCTATGCTGGGCTTCACCATGGGCCATTTGGCCCCAGGCTCCAGCCTGCAGGTGGGGAAACTGAGGCAGGCAATGATGATCAGTGACTCCCCTAAGATCACTGTCGGGCAGGAGCAGAAAAGGGGCAGAAAGCAGTTCCCCTGTTCCCTAGAGAAGTGTTTGCCACGCTGGTCATGTTGTCCCTCCATCTCATCCCTGTCCTCCACCCCATAATGGATTTTGGTTGCAAAAAGCAACAGCCTGAACCCTGACCACTCCCTGTCACCCCAGCCCACCCTGGGGAGATTGTCCCCTGTCGGGGGGGACTGCTGTGGGGAGCTGAAAGAGGCCACCAAGGCTGTCCCAGCCCTTGGCTCACAGACCCCGGCACCAGCTGCAAAACTCGCCCCAAGCCCCGCGGTGACTCTCCCGTGCCTGGACGGGGATGCTGAGCCCTGGGGAAGGCTCCGGCCCCCGCACGGAAGGGGCTGCGTCACCTTCGCGACTCAGCGGTCGGAGACGCCCAGGTTTGGTTTGATGCAGAGCGAGACTCCGGGGTGTGAACCTGCCAGGTAACAGCGACAGCGCCGAGAGACGAGCAGCCCTAATTCTGTCCTCACTTCTCCCAGCTCCTGGGTTCCTGCTACACGAAATGCCTCCAGACACGGCACCTCCGTGCAGGGTGGCTGGGTCAGGTATAACAAGGGGGAAAAGTGCAGAGACAGGCGAAAAGAAAGAAAAATATTTGAAAACTCATTTTAAACGGAGGCTTTTTCGGCTCAGCTTTGCCCAGAGCTTCACTGTCTCACGTTCCGAGCCTGGCAAAAGCCGGGGAGAGGGACCTGTGCTGCCTGTTTGGAGACAGACACCATAATGAAGCAACTTTTCAGAGCCAGGGTTTTGTGATGTAGGAGAGCAAAGACCTGACGTGAAACGACTGGGGATGGAGAGGGGGAGCGAAGCGGACAGCCCCTTTTCAGCTTGACATCTCTCTCTGGTCGTCTCTGTCCTCGATTGTCCAAATGGTACCATGCAGGGCCAGAAATGTCCTTGCTGATTGCCTGTGCTTGGCTGGATAAGAGAGGATGGAACAGACACTGCTGGCAGCGATATCCCAGGTGGCTCCAGGGTGTTCAGGGGGCGATCCGGGGTTGTTCAGCAAAGAGAAGAGAGATGGGAGAGCGAAGGAACATTCAAAGCCCAGGACTGCCCATGGCATTGGTGCCCGGGAACTCAGTTGGGGGCTGCATCTGTGCTGGAATACTGTCCCCCTGATGCTGAATATGTCCCCAAACCCTTTAGCAAAAAAAATATGGATGGGTTTGCTACTTGTCAGCTGCTCCATCCCCCCCCAGGTTTCTTGTGCAGGCAGCTCCTCCGAGAGAGCACGGCAGGAGCCTAGAGTGATTTATTCCGTTTCCCCAGACCCTAATTTAGGGCCGTTCCCTCTTTCAGATCACCAGAAGCTGGAACGAGAAGCTCGAATCTGTCGCCTCCTGAAGCACCCCAACATTGGTAAGCGCACTCTGCTCCCCCCCACTGCCAGACAAGGGGCCAAGCAAACCTCCCTGCCTGTGCTCCGTGCCTGGCTCCGCTGCCCGCCTGCCCTCCCCTGCCCACACCAGGGCTGGGGGTTCCCCATCAATGATTCAGCCCTGCCCACTGCAGCACGGGCTCTTTGTCCTTCCCTCGCATGCTGGCCACCACCCCGGCGATGGAGAAGGGGCTCGGTGGCATCTCGCCCTGTTGATCCACAGAGCAGTCCCTCCTCTTCCTTGTGGGGACACAGCATCTTCAAACAGGGTCACGGGGAGAAAGGCTTCCACTGAGCACGGGGGGATTGAAGTAGGTCCGAACTAACCCACTTGGCCATAGCTCCCTTGGGGAGAAGCGGGGCCGCAGGAGGCTTCAAAGGACTATTTTTACTGCTCTCCCCCCCCTCGGGTGCTGTATTCCTCTGCATGCTCCAAAAAGCGGCTGCAGCTCGGAGCAGCAGCAGCGGCAGCGCGGGGCGTGTAGGAGGAGCGATGGCGGGGGGGAAGCGAAGACTTTCCCACCGACCGTCCATCTGAGAGTAGCCTCCTTCGGAAAAGCTGTTTCAGGAAAACTCCTGAGCCCCTGCAAAAGACAAAAATAGGCCAGAAGGAGAGAGAGAGGGGAGGGGAAAAAACTGCAGTAAAAGAAAAAAATCCCAAACTCCAGCCTTGAAAGTGATGCTGATGCAGGCTTCTGGTCCCTGGGGATGGTCCGGCAGCAGGAGCAGGGAAGAACCCCCTCTCTCCTCTGCTGCACCCTGAGATGTGCCGACCCCGGTAGGATCCTGCAGCTTTTGGGAAAGCATTTGGAGGCAGAACAGGTTCTCTGCAGCCCTGGCATCCCGCAGCTGGGAGATTGGTGGTTTCGACTTTGGCTGAGCTCCTCCCTGGCTCCCTCACTTGCTCCCAGTGACCTGGATCCATCCTTCTCCACGAACCGCTGCAGCAGATCCAGGGAGCTGGACCCAGGGCCGCTGGGACCAGCCAC